GCATGAAGGACAATCTATGCCCTCCAATGAGACAAGACGATGCTATAACGTGTTGTCTTTTACCCTAATCATCAATTTTATGGTCTAACCATTTTTAACGTGGTACGAACTGAGAGGACAATGGTAAATTGTCTTCTCTTTCTAATTTAATTTTTTAAAGTCCCATCCATTTTAGGGTAAATTGTCTTCTCTTTCTAATTTAATTTTTTAAAGTCCCATCCATTTTAGGGTGCCAAACATGCTCTTAGGGTGCCAAACATGCTCTTAGGATATGAAGTAGGTGAATGAAATTTACTCCAGCTTTGGCTATGATGAGAATCATCTGTTGTTATTGCGATCATGATGCAAAACAGGTAAAATATACGAGAAATGAATGACATGAGTAGAAGTGAAATACTTTGTTTGGAGACTGCAATTAATGTCCAAAAATGCAGGGGCTGATCCGGCACCCGACGAGCCGTCCATGTTGGATTCGTTGGGAAAAGAATTAATTAAGAATTATGAAAACAATTATATGCGTGTGCGTGCGTGCGTGTAGTTTCCATGGAAATGGTGCTTAGTAGGGATGTCAGCGGTTTGGTTCGGGGTCAGTTCGGCTAAAATCATAACCGTACCATCAAATTTTTGATCAAACCATAACCGCACGATAATCACGTAAGTCGGTTCCGTTAATAACCACGAAAATAAATTATTTTTTATAAGTCCAAAATCCAACCGTCAAATTGAAAAAAAAAATTTATGAAGAAAAGTCAATAAAAACAAAAATACAATACTAAGCAAATTTAGCAAACAATATCTCAAATGAAAATGCAAATAATATCTCAACTTTCAAATGCAAAATTCGAATTTAACAAACAATATTATCAACATATATCAAGACTCTTACTAGCATATATTAATTTTCATTCTTCTCCACAACTCTTACTAGCATAAGTCAAGAGTCAAGACTAAAAGTTGATTCATATATAGTAAATAAGAAATGTAATTAGAGTAATAATACAAATATACTACCTAATAAAAAATAGTCTTAACTGAAGATTTAAACAAAAAACTGTACATCTTCGCCAATTGTCAAAATTGCTCAATTAATTTTGGGAAAGAATAATGGAAAGCTCAATTCTCCAATTAATTTTTTTTTAACGGAATAATCGGTTCGGGGCGGGGCATCATTGCTAAAAATCATACCCGTCTCATCTCGAACCGGGTCATTAAAATCAAAATCATAACCACCCCATTGCACCATCAGTTCGATTTTTTCCTCATTCGATTCGGTTAATCGTGATTTTCGATTTTAACAGTTCGAATTGTCATCCCTAGTGCTTAGATCGTTTGGAAGAGTGCGTCTTTCCATGTGAGATACCTTGGTTCGATTTCCTTCAATAACACTCTTTTAATTTTTAAACAAGGTAAATAATAACTAAATATTAATTACTAATTGTACCAATGTTCAACAAAAAAAAGTGTAGCTCATATTGTAGAAGGGTCATCTTATGCATTATGGGGTTCAATTCTATGTTTTCCTACTTTTTCGTTTGATTTTTCAATACAATAAATAATAACCAAACATTTATATATTATTAGCTTTCGTTTTCGAAATAATTTCTTTAAAAAATTTATTGACTCAAATTATATCTCTATGATATATATACTTTTATTGTTGGTTTTGTTAATTTATTTTATAAAATTCAAATTTGGACAATCTAAGTATTCTTCTTTATTCTTTTAAAAGTTCAAAAAATACTTTTTCTTTTGGACTCAAAAATAGTTTTAGTTCCAAAAATCATTGTTTTCAAATTTTAGGATACTTTTCGTGTAAACTCGGAGCTTGTCTTTACTATTTAATCATGCTTTACGTATAAACAGTTTCGTTTGAGTTCGTAAAAACATTGAAACTTGATTGTACATATATGATTGAAAAATGTATTTTTTTTCTTATTATTTTAGGTTGTATTGAATTATATTTTCAAAAATACACGACTTTTTTTACGTTTTAATGCATTTATATATTGATTGAATTTTTTTAACATTATTTAATTAAATAATAATAAACAATTTTATTATTACGCTCATCAATGACCGTCCTAACTGACTTAATATCCTGGAAGAGTCACTACAAAGATAAATCACATCTCTCTATCAACATTTGCAATAATGCAAAATTTCAGAAAATTAACAGCATTTCTTTACCCCGAAAGCCTCTACCATGTAAAAACACCAGTAAATGCTATATAAAAACACGGAACATAGTTTTATCGAGCAGTGCATGACAACCATACCAAAACTACATCCTTCTCTGTTCGTTTCAACAAAGAAATATGAGTCATGCTACTTATACAGAGTTAGGTTACAAAATTGGTTTACAAAATACATGTTGGCAACATTTTGGCCAATGATTTAAAAAATAGTTTTTGAAATCAATGATCTAAATCTTGCCACATCATTTTGTCAACACACTTTTGTAAACCACATTTGTACAAGTAACATAATTGAAGAAATATAGAACTCACTATTCACGAAGATCTGCTTCTCATGCGTTTATTGCAGTAGTAATCTCATCATTAGTATTCTCATCGTTAGCTTTCTCATCAGCTAAAAATTCAAGAGCAATAACGAAATTTGCAATCAAAGGTCAGGTGCTAACTTCATCTTGAAGACACATAGCTGCAACAGCAACAACTTGATACAGACCCTTCATTGGGTACCTCCCTCCCAGTAATGGATCTACCATCGACGTGAACTTTGTTTTGTCCTTGAAAAGTGTCTTTGCATGTAGAATAACATTTCCAGGTTAGTGTTTTGATTCCGATAATGTAGAAGTACATGAGAAAATAAGTGTCTTTGCATGTAGAATAACATATCCAGGTAAGTGTTTTGATTCTGATAATTTAGAAGTACATGAGAAAAAATTGTTAACTAACCCAAGCAACTAGGTTCTGCTCTTCAGCTGGTTTCATGTTATCTATAGCTCTTCTTCCTGAAATGATCTCCAGAAACACGACTCCAAAACTGTAGACGTCAGATTTTTTAGTCAACTTGCCTGTGTGTGCATACTCCGGTGCACAATAGCCATACGTCCCCAACACCTTAGTCGAAACATGATCTTGTTTGCCTGTGGGACCCAACTTAGCAAGTCCAAAATCAAAAGGCTTAGGATTGAATTTTGCATCCAGTAATATGTTATATGCTTTGAAGTCCCCGATAGATAATCGAAGGGTTGGCTCTATCATGTAAGTATTCAAGTCCTCAAGCTGCCCCATTGGCTATCTTCATCCTCGTGTACCAATCCAAAGGCTTCCTATTCGAGGGTAAATCTGACAAGAGAAAAATAGCGACTTTGCTCGTAAAACCACTTATCTGTTCAGAAGTTGCTCAAAAATCCAAAAGCTTACCAAGAAAGTGACCTTCTAAAGATCCATTGCACATGTATTCATGTACTAATATCCTTTGGTGCCCATTATCACATTATCCTATTAGACTAACCAGGTTCGGATGGTAAACGAGGCTTGTACTCCATTCCGGTCAAGTTGCTTAACAGCCAAAGTCTGGACAGAAAAACAACCTAGTATAATAAGATAGGAAAAGTACATACAAATAAAACAAGATTTTGATATAGATACAGAGATATCTACGATATATACTTGATTTGTGTTCTTAAGATATCCCTTGTAGACTCTTCCGAATCCGCCTTCGCCTATTAGCAACTCGGGATTAAAGTTTTCTGTTGCGCTAGCCAGTTCTCGAAATGTGAATACCTCACCAGCAACTCTTACACTTCCATGTCTAAGTATGTCTTCTGCTATTAACCTTTGTTTAGTACCAGCTACACACACATGATCAAAAGATAGCAGTACTTTGGTTACAATACCTAGATTTCCCCAAAACTATTTATGTACTAATCATAGACAAAAACAAACGTCTGAAAATTGTTAAAACTTTCAGAATTTTAGGTTCAGTTTGATAACTAATGGTAACAATATCTGTTCATATAGATTAATCGAATATCAGCAGCATTTTGAGATCTAATGTACAATTCAGCGCCGAATAATCCATAGATTCACATATGCAACAGGAAATCTCAAGAAGAAAATATGATGGAAAATGATGTTATGTATCAAACATGTATTCATCGAAATACTTCTGGCCATTGTGGATAATGCTTCTGCATCATCGTAATTATCGGTTGTCTTCATCACATTTACAGAACTTTTTGATGATTTTAAAGGGTGGTTCCTCCTCATGGTGTTACACCGTTTTAATCCTTCAACAAGTTGCTATGATCCAGTCGAGGTGGTTTTTTTTCTCACAGTTTATGCAAACAATCATAAATATCTTCATAAACAAGACCATTGATATTCAAAGAATATATTTACGAATTGGCAGGAAAGGAACAGATGAAAAAGTGGATTGAAACTGGACAAATTTTCCACTTCCGCTTGGAAGATTTGAAATAAATATGCAGTTAGGCACTTCGTGCTATTGATTAGCCGAAGTTGTAATGTTTTGATTCATGCTGCGTCCCTTGTTTTGGATCACTACATCGTTGTAATGTTTGGTTTCTTATGCCCGGAGTAGTTGTAGAAATAAAAATAAAAAATGTGGATTCAGATTAAACTAAATGAAAGATTTTTAAGAAGGTGAAAATCTGATATATTATATAGTACTAGTTAGACGCACGTGCTATCAGCGAAGTTGGCTACTTAATAGCGTGGTTGTCACACTCATTATACCACCTCAACCAACGGTGAACTATACCTGAAAACTAGTCAATAATGAGATTATCATCCTGTAAGATGAGCCGATGACATGTACGAGCATATCCTTCTCCATTTGTCAATCCATATCTATGGAAATGCTTCTTTATATTATTTATCGGTGCAATGATTTCCATAACAGAGGCAGGTGTGAATTGAGAGCTGGCGCTGGATAAAAGGGCAAGTGTTGAAGTTGTCTCAAAAGATATATATTCATTGGCACGTTGCTGGAATTCATAATAAGAATCTCTTAGTTCCTGGGGAAAGGCTGGTTCTGCGATATACTTGGCTAAGAGAACTTCTTCAGATGATGCAGTTTTTGCATTTACATCTTGCATCCATATCTTCATTAGATGTTTATACCAATGATTAGTTTCCATTCCAACTTTCCAGAAATTGGCAATTTCGCTCAAAAGAGAGTTATTATCAGCTAAATGCTCGATTTCTGATTCTTTGACCTTCTTCAGTTCATGAGTAGGCCATTTCTTCCCAATTCTGACCATCCCTGCATCCCAAGATTCCTGCTTCTGTTCAGCAAACAACTTGATTTTTCCCTTCAATTTATGAACAACTCTTACGGCAGGGATCTCTTTCAAGCGCCTTTTAAACAATGCACCCATATTGACATGACATGATACAACAAGACAGAGATGTCCGAACCTTGTAAAATGGATACATGTCCCATTGACTAAGCAACAGCTACAATTTATTAAAAAATGACAAGATGTAAATTCTCTTGTATCACGCAATATATGTTCTCTTTAAAAATATTCTTCTTCTATGTATTTAATACACAAGCTTAATTTTGTAATTATATTGAATGATGTGTCCAACTGTCCATGTACCCAAGTTTTAAGCCAATATGATATTTGTCCAAAACCTTGAATGTTAAAGCTTGGCATTTCACAAATTAGATGCTTAAATTACACCCTTACATGATCTTTGCCCTGGACTGAGCAACATGGAAAAGAAATTTAGCCAGTAATGCAAGAAAATGACAATGCATGTATTTATAATATAAACTAACTTCAGTAATGCAAGAAAATGACAATGCATGTATTTATAATATAAACTAACTTCTGCTGGAAGGTACAAATATGATTTTTACTTGCAAGAGTAGGTTGTAAGCCATACTCTGCACACAAACTGTTAAATGCTTGTTTTCTTGTTGGTGATATGGTAATAAATTGATTGATTGCCTAGTTTTATCTAAATGTAAATTTATATGTTCCAATCTATCTTTCTACAATCAAATTGATAATGTGGTATACACAACGTTGATGAAAAAAATAAACTTTTCAAATGTAGGGTTCAAATCATTAATAAATTTTTCGATAACAACTTTGTTCACAGTAATATTATCAAAAGTAAAATTTCGAACCATTTCTTGCATACCATATTCCTGTATAATATCTTTTAAAACCATGTATATGTTAGTTTCTACACATCTGAATGCAATAATCATTTTATGCATAATTCATAGATGATTAATGTAATGAGCTGTAGCAGCAATATAATATTTTTTATTAACACCGGTCCATAAATCTGAGATAAATGATATAACACTATTAAAAGTTTTTAGACTTTCAATAGTAATTTGTTTTATTTTGTTATATAATTTTATTCTATCCGAACGAATAGTATTTCTATAATAAGGAGTATACTTGGATTGGAGATAATTCTGCACAAGACGAGTAAAGCGTATTGACTCGATCATCGTAAGCTCTGCTGCAATCATTCCTTCACGAACTCTTTCATGTGAATATATAAAAGTGGAAAGAGTAGAACCAGAACCGATAAACACTAGTTCGGTCTGTTTCGAGTTAAGATCGATTGGTTTCACTTTGCAATTTCCTAATATGTGCCTATTTAAATGCATTGTGCTTGAACCGGGCTTCCAACTAAGTTCTTTACCATAATAATTGCAACATGCTTTCCAAATATCAACTCTATTTTGAGCCCCAACCTTTTTACGTGTCATATGTTGCCAACAATCCGCAGATTCTATTTTCGACATTTTAACCTCAAGTACTTCATCCTCTTCGATATCTTCCAAATCAATTGGAACATTTTGAAATGCATTGTAGTTGGATGGTGTACTCGAATTATCCTTAAACTGATTAATCTCATAACTAGTAAAATCCATTTGTAACTATTATAGTAAAAAATATTGAATATTAGAGTAAAAGAAACTGAATAAGAATAAGTAAAGAAATTAGAGATTGAAATTGAAACTAGAATTCAATTAAATGTCTAAATTGAATATTAGATTAAAGAAATTGGAGACTAGAATACTGAATATCGAGTAAAGAATTGGAGATAGATTGAAGTAAATTGATATAAAGTTGTAAAATTTTTTCACATATTTATTGCCAAAAAAATATATCCATTTTAACTATATTTGAATTTCAAATTCAAATTTTGAAAATTTTTGTGAACGTTAATTGTACTCTTGACTAGAGATAACTGCGTGCGGCAGCTCTCTGCAGTTGTCGAACTACATGTACACACGCAATTGTCAAGTTGCAGCTTGTCATGACAAGACCTGCAACTTAGCTTATTTAAATTATTATTTTTTCTGTTGTTTTCGATTTTTTTTTATTATTAACGAGCTCGTACGGACTTTTTCCGGGCTGAGCCAACGAGCCATTTTGCCATCTTTAATTTGACCCTTTGATTTTCTACAACAAAAATGAATTTAGAGAAAAAATGTGGTGAATATGACATAGCCCATGTTTGGTACAAATTAAAATTTTCATTTTCATTATTCTACTCATTTTCAACCACACATTTTTCAATAAAATAATATTTTTCATCACATCAATAACTTGTCCTTATTTTTCAACCACATATTCTCCATCAATCTACTATTCCTAAATTTTAAAGTGTGGTTAATTAAGTAATTTTACTTATGATCATTTAATCCCATGTTTGGTACAAATTAAAATTTTCATTTTCATTCTTCTACTCATTTTCAACCACACATTTTTCATTAAAATAATATTTTCCATCACATCAATAACTTTTCCTTCTTTTTCAACCACACATTCTTCATATTTTCCATCAATCTATTATTTCAGAATACATTCTTCCAAAATAATGTGATTCAAACACACTCATAACAAGGTTCAAATTGGGGTTTGCACCATCAATATCGTTCCTAGTCAGTACAGTTTTCCAATTGCTCTTAGTTGTTGCTGCGCTGCTTCAACCCGATTTTGGAAATGAAGAAACTCAACTGTACATTAAATATTTGAGATAATTTTATTTCCATGCATTCTCTTTATCTATTAATGTACACGTGAGAGTTGATTCCCCCCCAGCTTTTGGTTTTCCGTAGTTAGTTGCTTTAACCTAGGGATGGCAAAATGACCGCTAAATCCTTCATTTTTTTGATATGTGAAATATGTGATTTCACTAAGTCGATTCTTAGGAAATGTCGAATCAAACCATTAGTCCTTATTTCAACAAAGTTTCGGGTTTGGCCAAAAAAAAACCGAGCTGGGCCGGCTCCACCGAGCCCCATTTTGGGGCGTCTGCTCAAGCCCGGGCTGGCTCGTACGAGCCAAGCCCATTAATATTTAAAAAAAATCAAAAACAGCATAAAAAATTAAAATAAACTACAGCCGCCTGTGTGACAATTGCGTGCGTGCAGGCAGTCGACAGGAGTACAATTAACGTTTGTAAAAATTTTCAAAATTTGAAATTCAAATATAGTTAAAACGGATATATTTTTTGGCTATAAATACGAGAAAAAAATTTACTTCATATCATTTACTTCAATCTATCTCCAATTTCTTTACTTCATTTTCTTTACTCTAATATTCAATTTAGACATTTAGTTGAGTTCTAATTTCAATTTCAATCTTTAATTTCTTTACTCAGTTTTATTCAGTTTCTTTTACTCTAATATTCAATATTCTTTACAATAATAGTTACAAATAAATTTTACTAGTGATGAGATTAATCAGTTTAGAGGTAGTTCGAGTACTCCATTGGGGTACGATGCATCTCAAAATGTTCCAATTGATTTGGAAGATATCGAAGAGGAGGAAGTAGTCGAGGTTAAAAGGTCGAAATAAGAGTCTGCGNATGAAAGATTTCGTGAAGGAATGGTTACAACAGAGCTTACAATGATCGAGTCAATACACTTTACTCGTCTTGTGCAAAATTATCTCCAACTCAGGTATACTCCTTATTATAGAAATACTCTTCGTTCGGATATAATAAAATTATATAACAGAATAAAACAAACTGCTATTGAAAGGCTAAAAACTTTTAATAGTGTTATATCATTTACTTCTGATTTATGGACCGATATTAATAAAAAATGTTATATTGATGCTACAGCTCATTACATTGATAACTTATGAATTATGCATAAAATGATTATTACATTCAGATGTGTAGAATATCCTCATAATACCACTAACATATACATGGTTTTAAAAGATATTATATAAGAATATGGTATGCAAGAAATGATTTGAAGTTTTACTTTTGATAATGTTACTGTGAACAAAGTTGTTATCGAAAAATTTATTATTAATGATTTGAACCCTACATTTGGAAATTTATTTTTTTCATCGACGTTGTGTATGTCATATTATCAATTTGATTATAAAATATGGATTAGAACATATAAAATTACATTTAGATAAAATTAGGCAATCAATCAATTTTATTACTATATCACCAGCAAGAAAGCAAGCATTTAACAGTTTGTGTGCAGAGTATGGTTTACAAGAGAAATAATTTGTCACTAATGTAACACATAGATGAAACTTTACATATCTTATGTTACACTCATGTGAAAATTATGATGAAGTTATTTCAATGTATTATAATGATAGGCATACATATGGACCCGAATATAATTTGGAAATGGTCTATTGCATTTTACGTGAAGAAATTTTTAAAACCTTTTTTCGATACTACAAAAAAATGTAGCGGTGTTTATTACCCTACATCTTCACTTGTTTTAAACATAGAAATTTGCCCATTTTTGTTGATGTAGTTTATTTCATGGAGTTAAAATTTCGTAAATATTTGGAAGAGTTACCCTCTTTATTTTTTTAGTTTCGGTGATGGACCATCGACTTAATTTAACTAGCACAAAAGTTACTATAAAGAGGATTTCAAATTTCATGAATGTAGAATTATCACACATGCATATTGAATCTATGTTATGTGAAATGTATAACTATTACGCTGAAAAAGGAGGTCAGTGTAGTTCTACTTCCCAAAATTCTTTTTTAAGAAATATTTCAACAAATGCAGATAATTTATGGAATTATTTAGGGACCAATACTAGTGTTCTCTCTCATTTAGTTCTAGTTCATCAATATCTAGAGCAATAGACGTCAGTGGTACAAATCTTGAAATTCCATCTGAATTAGCTAGATATATGTGCGTGGACGTTCGTAGTATGTTACAACAGAAGAATTACGGAAATTTAGTTTTCTTTTATCATGGTGGAGGTATAACAAAAGGCAATATCTCATTGTATCAAAAATTGTTCGCGATCTACTAACACTTATGGTGTCTACGGTAGTATCGTAGGCTGCATTTAGTTTAAGTGGTCGAATTTTATATGACGAACGATCAAAACTAAAAGAAG